AAACCTTTCCTTGACCTTTTACCCTAATGAACTAATAAAATATTTGTCTTTCTGCGATTGACTTATTTCACTCAGCATAATGTCCTTCATGTTCATCCATGTTACACAGTGTTTCGCAGATTCTACATTATTCTTTAGTGTTGGGTAGTATTCCATTGTGTGTATGTACCATAGTTTGGTTATCCATTCTTCTGTTGATGGGCACTTAAGTTGTTTCCATCTTTTTGCTATTGTAAATACTGCTATAATGAACATGGGTGTGCATGTATCTGTTCTTGTCCTGGCTTTCACTTCTTTAGGATATATGCCTAGTAATGGGATTGCAGGGTCAAAAAGTATTTCTGATTCCAGCTTTTTAAGGAATCACCATACTGCTTTTCACAGTGGTTATATCATTTTACAGTCCCACCAGCAATGTATGAGAGTCCCATTCTCTCCACATCCTCGCCAGCATTTGTTATTTTCTGTCTTGTGGAACTTTGCCATTAGTGCTGGGGTGAGATGGTATCTCATTGTTGTTTTGATTTGCATTTGCATTTGTGAGCATTTCTTCATGGAAACAGATCTCCAGTCCTGTTTCTTCTGCAGTGTGACTGGCTAGATTTGAACTATCACCCTTTTGACTGCTAGCTGAGCACAAACTGTTTGCACCATCTAGTGACCTTTGTACCAGACTTTTAGAAACAGAAAGTATAATGTGCCCAAGAAGTATCATAAGGAGGTATATCTCTTAAATAAGGGCTTGTTCTCTTGAGTGAACCTCTAGCTTTGTCACCATGGAGGAAGTGTTCCCTCCGTGGTTCTCTCTGGTGGCCTGGGAGAGCCTTTGAGGCAGTGAAGGTCATTGGAACAGAGGTGACGTCAGACCATTTCTGTCAGTTGTGCAATGCTTATGTAGAAATGACCCCAGACACAGAGATCCAGCAGAGGTACCTAGGCCATGGGAGGAGTGGAAGCAGCCCCGGAGTCCCACCTGGTAGCTGCATTGTGAGGCCTCTCCCTGGGATCACCTGGCTTGGTGGAACCTTCCAGCTAGAAGGCTTTTGGGACCAGCCACGTGTAGACTGGCTGTGCCGCTTGAGGTGGACTGCTGATTTCTTCTATGTCCTTGCCTAGCTAGCAAAGAGAAGGCTACTCAGACGATGCTGGGGCCAGTGTGAACACAGCTGTGCGTTTCCACCAAGCAGTGCCCTCATGTCCTCACAGAGTCACCACAGGGCCACAAAGTGGAACAGGACTCCAAGAAGCATGTGCTGGGCTTACGGACAATGAAGCCTATTCTTTTCCTGAACTTGGTCTTGAGCAATGAGTTCTTCTTCCACTGGCCTGAAAATGCTATAATTTTCGATTTCCCAGGCCCTATCGAGTACCTAGTTAGGGTTTCTGTCACATCTGATGTCAGGGCTTCAAACTACTTCACACCAGCTCAGTCATGGCCAATGCAGCGAAATCAGAACAGACCCAAATTTGTAAAATGTGGGTATACCAAACAATAACCAGAATGGGAAGAATTGAGGGTCAAATCCCTGGAATGGGAGAGTTGGAAAAGGTCTAATGAGTGAGCCCTTTTAGGAGCCTGTTGGTGGGAGATTGAATTATTACCAGGGCTGTGAAGAGTGACACACGTTCATAGCAACATGGTAGGCTGCCATCTTTGAGCCTGGCACTTATGTTTCCCACTCAGCTGGTCAAGAGATTTAGTTGCTATGCAACACACACACTGCCCTTGTTTTCTTGGAGATAAAATTTCTCGCAGCAGGTCAACTTGTAATTTTCCCTGTGTGGTTATCTTTCTGGCACACTCACATTTTACAAATTCAGGTCTGTTCCAGTTTCACTTCATCGGCCATGACTGAACCAGGAAGGATCACTTCAAAGCCTTGATGATCCTTTTTCTGAGACATGTGGGTTAAAATGCAGTTAAATGCAGACTAAGCCCAAGATTGCCTTGAATCCTTGTCGAATGTAGTGAATCTGAAGGCTGTCAGTGTTCCATCTTTGTCAGTATGCCGCAGAGTGACTTAGCACGGTTTTTGTGTATGGGGGGCGGGTGACAGGAGGCTGTCAGCAGGTAATGAAAAATGGCACCTGCAGGTCACACTGAGGTAGGTGCTTTTCAAGAATTTCAATGGGGCCTGCACGTTCACTTGCTGCATGGCCTTGGCAACCCCTTCTCTCTGGGGCTCTAGTTCTTCATCTGAAAATGAGGGGCCTAAACCTAACGATTCCTTGAGGGGGTCCTTCCAGCCTTGACATTTGGTTATCTTGTGGTAAGATGGTGACTCGAGAGAAAATCCAGCTGCTCATTACTGCTGATTAGCAGATTAATGAAAATGGGGTAGGCCTGGGTCCCCAGAACAGACACCCACACACAGGCCTTTCAAAAGGCAGAATGTGTGCACTGGGTATGTGAGAGAGATCTTTCCCATGCTGCTTCTTACTAGTACTTCCTAACCCCCGAAGACATAGCCATTCTTCTCAGAGCCTTCAGAGAGAGCAGCCTACAACTCGCAGCCTGTCCCCAGCTTTCCTGAGTCAGCAGGACCTGGCTTCCAGTGTCTAAGGAGGAGTTGCTTGGGAATTCGCCCCTGGCAGGAGAATTGTACACAAGACTTGACGGGCCCGGCCCGGCCTGGGCTGGGTGCAGCTTGTCTGGGCTGCTTTTCCTCTCCTGCTCACCCACTTCCACCCACCCACCCTGACACCTTGCACAGGCTGGTTCCTCTAGCTGGAATTTCCTGCACCAACCCCATGTCTGGTCTTGATGACTCCCACTTGTCCCTCAGGCCCCTGCAGAGTGGACTCTCCTGCTGAGCACTCTGTTCCACCCTGCGTTGCCCTCACTGGGGTTTGTCGTCAAATACTAATGGCTGACCACTGAACTCCAAGTCCAGGAAGTCAGGATCACGTCTGTTTGCACCTGCTGTGAACTTAGGCCCAGGCACGTAGTAGATGCTCAGTAAATACTTGATGAATGAATGCATGAATGAATGGGTGAGCGAATCTCCTTAAGATGATGAGATTTAGTGGTGAAGAGTGTAGGCTCCACGTCAGCAGACATGGTTGTGATGTAGCAGTGAGCAGCCCTGAGGTTGTGAGGATGTTATTTCACCCCTCTGGGCCTCAGTGTCCTCTGGGGATGGGGAGAGCTATTGGAATGCTTTATGGGTTTGTTGTTAAGATTACAGAAGATGGTACATTTCAGAAAGCACTTAGCACAGTGTTTGGCACATGGTAATAACAATGAGCAGTGTCCACTCATTATTCGTGTTAATCTCACAATTGCCATGTGAGTGGCAGGTCAGTAAAGTCTTCATTTAACAGATGAGGAAAGAGGTTCAGAGAGGGTTATTGACTTGCCCACGGCTCGACAGCAAAGGAAGGGTTGAGCTGGGCCTTGAGTGAATCAGGAAGCTCTCAGGTGGCTTTTTTTTAATTGAGCACATCCTACTTCCTGAGTGTCATGTAGAACACTTGTGTATTCTTCCATCTCTCAGTATCCTCTGTGAGGCAGACACCATTATCTCTGTTTTACAGATGAGAAAACAGGGTCAGAGATGCAGTGGTTGCCCAGGGATGCACAGTGACCCAGTAGCAGGAAGGGACTCAGACCAAGCTCAAGCTCACTGTTTCATCCACTCAGTCCTGGCTTCCCAGAGGCTGCTAGACTGCCACTGTCTTCTGTTTTGTAAGGAAGGGAATCTTTGGAAATGAAGCTGAGGAAAAAGGCAGGGACTGGGGCTGATTATTTTTCCTTGTTTGACCCCGGTGTGTTTGAGTGTTCACTGAACAAACTGAACAAGCCCACCCCAGCTCTGTGGAAGCACCTGGCTGCATGCTTGGGAGAGGTACCGAGACTACTGGAGCAAACCTGTCCCCCAGAGGGGTCCCAGCTCCTGAGAGTCTAACGCATAGTGACGGTGCATCTGCCTGACTTGAGCAGGGCTTTGGGAAAGCCCCACCTTCACTTGTTCCTTTTAAAAGCAAGCTTGGCAGGGCAAGTACAGAGATTGAGCTCTGTTGTAACAGTGACTACCACTGGCTGCTGGTGGAGCCCTTGCAAGGTGCTTTGCCAGCATAAGCATGCCAGCAACACCATTTGAGGAGGGTGGCATTACTAGTTGACAGGCATGGAGAGCAGGGCTCAGAGTCCAGTCACTCAGCTAGTGGGAGACCAAGTGGGATCGTGGGACTGCACTGTACCTGGCATGAGGTTTCAGAGGGTGTGAAGGTCTGGCATGGTCCTAGCTGGAGAGGCCCAGAACCAAACCCCACCTGTTTCTTTTGAGTCAGTTCCTTTTTTTTTCCCCTTGAATTTAAGATCCAACCCCCTTTGTCTCTCAGATTCCACTAAGCACACACAGCCTGTGGTCCCTGCTCTCTGTTGCCTTGGCCCTCTCCCCCATGATCAAAGTATATTTCTGTGTCTTCTGCAGGTGGGCAAAGGAGGACCTGGAATTAATTAACAAGTGGGCCTTCAGGGGGGAGAGGGTAATTCACGGGAGCCCCTCAGGAGTGGACAATGCTGTCAGTACCTGGGGTAGGTGCTACCTTCCGTTTGCTTGCTTTAGTTTAATTATGCGATTGCTTTAAAAACTCTTACTGCTGGAGAGGTCCAGGCTCGGTAGATGTGGGATGAATAGATGTGATGGATACTGAGGGAAATAGCATTTTTCTGTTGTGGGGGATAGGGGAAACCTCTGGGCCCCAGTGCATACCCACCAAATCTGAATGGGGGTCGGGGGCTGGGAATCCATAGTTTCGATGACCCCAAGCCGGGTCTGCCCTTAAAGCTGCAGAACCATTGCTGTGGCATTTACAAACCACACAGGTGTCAGCCTCCCCTTCAGTGTGATGTTGCTCACTTGATGGGCCGAGATGCCAAGGCCAGCATGAACTCAGGGCTATCTGACTAGAGCGGGGAGCCTGCTGGGAGAGGAGTGGCCTGAGAACCCAGAGCTTTGTCCTGAGCATCCTGGCTGAGCTGGAGAACTGGCTTTCCCCTCTGGATCTTCTGTGACAGAAGCTGAGGAGACTGGTTTTGTTGAGCCTGTGCCTTGCATGGGTTGAAACTGAAACCCCAACCCAGGATCCAGCCTCATCCAAAGAGGCAAAGGCAGGTCAGCTGTCCTACTGCTCTGACCCACTTTGTTTTCTACTTAGGCGGAGCACTCCGATACCAGCAAGGACAGATTTCATCTTTAAAGAGGTAAGTCTTGGGTGGAGCAGGCCCTCCCAGCAGGGCTGCTGGGAAAGCTCTCCATCTTCCAGGGAATAACACATGGGGCAGGTGGTCCAAGCTTTCCCTCTCCCAAGGTGACCCTCACAAAGGGAGCACGAGGTGACAATTGCTCTTTTCTTCTCCAGTTCAGCTCTTAAGCTGCCAAGAGATTAGAGGGAGAAGTCATGCATGGCTACCCTGGTCACCCTCCAGAAACTGCCTCCTCCCCCAGACTCTTGACTGCTCATTCATTCATTCATTCATTCAGCTGTGTGTTGATTTAGTAAACAAGAATTGATGTCGCTCTGTGTTCCTGACGACACTGTCTAGGGAGATAAAGACAAATCTCAGACATGGTTCTGAGAGCTGTCTGGTTGTGGGGCCTGGGGACAGACATGCACTCAAATGCCCTTATAGCACAACAGGGAGTTGCCGGAAGGGTTGTACCCTGATGGCAGGGGCAGGAGCTTATGAAAGGCTTTGTGCAGAAGTAGGTTTGGACCCTTTCCTTCTAGGTAGTTATAATCACAAGCATGCGCTTTACATTTCAACATCCTCCGTGCTGTCTGTACCACAGTGAAAACGTCAGGTGAAAGGAAATAAATACAGTCAGCAGGAGCCAGGTGCCTTTCTGGCTGTTCCCTGAGCTCTTGGTCAGGTTTGTCCCAGATGAAGGGCTTTGTCCCAGGGCACTTTGCCACTTCAGTGGGCCTTTCCATGGCCATGAGAGTCCCACACCCTACTCTCTTACCTCTTTTACCCAAAGCATCTTCACCCATCTTCCAGATGGGGATCAGGTCCTGGCCTGCTGCCCTTACCAACTGGGGCACCCCATGAATGCCTCTGTGCCCTGCCTGCACCTCTGGAATTTTTTGTCCCAGTTCTGTTGACTTCCAGAAGCACACCTGCCTTTTTGAGGCTTAGCAGCAGGCCTTCTCAGCTTCAGCACCATTGATGTTGGGGCAGGAGAGTTCTTTGTGGAGGGGGCTGTCCTGTAGATTGGTTAGCACCAGGATGCCAGTAGCATCTCCTTTCCTCCTTTCCCAGTTTTAAAACTGAAAATGTCTCAGGATGTTGGCAGCTTCCCCTGGAGGGCACGTCACCCTGATTGAGAACTACTTCCTTTACAGAGAAGGGACCATGAAAGAGCTTCCTCCAGCTGCTTATAGATCCAGTGCCAGTGGAGCCTCAGGGCCCAGGGAGGAGTTGGCTCTGCCAGCATACGGCATCTGTGTGCAGCCAGGAAGGAGCAAGGGGAGGACTCAGCAGCCCGGGCCTGGGCCTGCCCCACTGAGCTGCCATCCGCTGTGGGGGGCAGTCATAATTAAACCTCAGAGAAAAGGCATGGGGGCATCACAAGGGCTCTGAAGGGTGTGAAAAATGTGACTACGGATTTGGGGAGTCCTTCAGGGAGGTGGCAGCATGTCATTCACACAGGATTTTCTGAGAGCCAGCTAAACACCATCCTGGGCCCTGAAAAGAGAAAAACAACTGAGACATGGCCCAGGCATCCGGTGTACAGTCTCCCACAGGGAATCAGGTGGTGGACGGTGAGGACAGCTGAGACGTGGCCCAGGCATCCAGGGTACAGTCTCCCACAGGGAATCAGGCTGTGGACAGTGAGGACAGCTGAGACATAGCCCGGGCATCCAGGGTACAGTCTCCCACAGGGAATCGGGTGGCGGACAGTGAGGACAGCTGAGATGTGGCCCAGGCATCCAGGGTACAGTCTCCCACAGGGAATTAGGTGGCAGACAAGACAGCTGAGACGTGGCCCAGGCATCCAGGGTACAGTCTCCCACAGGGAATCGGTCTGTGGACAGTGAGGACGGCTGAGACGTGGCCCAGGCATCCAGGGTACAGTCTCCCGCAGGGAAT